TTTTTTTTTTTTTTTTTTTTTTTTTTTTAAATTTAATTTTTACTTTCCAAAAAGAAAGGGATTCTCCCACTTCCAACTACCATTGACTTAAGTTTGTTATTTTAAAAATTTTGAAAATTTCAAAATATAGTCTTATTCACGTTTTAATGTTTCATTTATGGTGCTTTTTGATGTTAAATAGCTATTCACCCACCCTAGTAAATTTTTTAATATAATAACGTCAGCTCGAGTCAAGATATTTGAATATAATTATATATTTATACGGTCCATTTCCTTTGATTTTTCATATTATTTAGGATCATACACGGATTAGATTGAATTAAGTTAGAAAATTCTTTTAGACAGCTAAGGATATTATGTTTTATCTTATTTGATATTCTATTATAGGCAAATATCTTTATATTTGTCTTTTTAGCATAGATATCTTTCCCTATCTTGTTCTTCGCATTTATTACTTTTTCCATATCTTTGGATTAGTGATTCAAGCAACTTAAATAGAATTCACAACGCAACGCAACTTAAAAATAGGGTAGGATTGGGTTGAATGTCTACTTGAGAACCTACTCAAATTTTCGATTCTTCAAAAATTCAACCCAACCCTCCAAAAAAAACATCTTATCCAATCTAATATTTATAGTTTTGGTCGGATAACCGGTGTCGGTTGGATTCTTGAGTCATAATGGTTTAACTTTTCTTAAGTTGAACGTTTGGAAACTAATTTTTTTTTTTGTGATAAAATATAGTTATAAATTGTTAAGTATGGAAGAAGTAGGCAATTGGTTGATAGGAATGGCACTCAAGGTATGAAATTTAATACTTGACTTAGAGTGGAGAGGTCCTTTTAAGCTACCATTCAAATTCCTTTTTTTTTAGATTAATTTACCCTAAATAACTTGGATTACAAGCCTCTAAAAACCCTAATTTTTCAATATCATAAAATGTTTGGTTAATGATTAGGTAAAAGTCACCCACTTACACTTCCAAACCCTAATTTCATTTCCTCTTGCACTTTACCTTTTTCTTTTTCTTTTTCTTTTTCATTATTTTCAACCATTTTTAGACCTAAAAAGAAAAGTTAAAGGAGCTCAAAGAATAAAGAACAAAGGGTAAAGAGAAAAGGAATGCAACGTTGGTATCGACCCAATTTGTTCTTTTCCCATTACCATTTTAAGAGGAAAAATGTATTTTATTTTGTTAAAAAAAGTGGAATAAAAATGCAAACTTTGCTTAACAAAAGTAAAAGCCCTCTAAAATTAAACCCAACTTTACACATTTTAATGCAAATGAAATGAAATAAAGATATTTATTCAACCCAACAATTATTATGGATATATTGTTTTCTACTTTTTATTTATTTATTTTCTTTACTAAATTTGTCCATTTCTCTATCCATCAAATAATGGGAAAAAAGAAAGTTTGGTTTAAAAAAATGATTTTTTTTTGTTATAAATTATAAAACATATATATAGGTTTGAACGTATTAATAATTAATTTTTTTATGGTTTCTATTATTTTTTATTTTTTGTTAAAATTAGTAGGTAGTTAATTAATGAAATTTTAATAACAGCAAAATTTAGTTACTTTTATTTATATTTTAGATAAAAAAAAAAAAGATGATAAAGTATATAGGAAAATAGGTTTAGAATTAAATATTCAAAATTTATATGTTATTTTTATTTTAAATGGAAAAATTAAATTAAAAAAAGTGAATAAAAACGTTATCGTTTGGCTCCTGAGATGTGAAAAAAGAAGGGAAAAAAAAGGGCTTAGGGAACACTTGAAAAACGTAAAGCACCAACGCAGCGCTGCGCCACCAAAAGCAAAAGCCGCCCGTGTCGCTTGCGCGCGCCCCAATGCCGCGCGCCCTCGTCGCTCTACTACGCCTCCGCCGCCCATCCATCACACTCACTCACTCACTTCCCAACTTCCAATCCAAATCAATTTAAAAAAAAAACAGTTCATGTTAAACCTACCCTTCACTTGGAAGGTAAGTGTTGGACGTGTTGGGTCGTCCAAGCATACTCGTTACGACTAGCTGGCTAGCGTGTGAGTTCTGCTATGCCTAATTCATACTCTCGCATACAAACTATGCTCGAATTGGCTTAATAAAAGACAAGCTCGGTTGAACCGATGTACTCGTATTAATCATAAACTAATCATGATTTAGATATCCACGTGGACAAAACAAAAAGTAGATTGAGAGGTGGGGTTAATCCTCATCCCTTTTACCTTTATCCGCACATTAAACAGCCACTTTTGTCAGTTCTCTTTCACTTTCTTCTCTTTTAAACATCATTCCCTCTCAACAAAAACCCTCGTCATCGTCATCTTCTTCAACCTCCTCTGTCATTTCCTTCGACCTCTAAAACCCTAACAATGGAGATTCTCTCTCAATTATGGTCTTTCTTGGGCCTTCTCACTGTCCTCCAAAACATTCTCCCTTCCCAATTCCTTTCCCTTCTCCATTCCCTTTACGAATCCCTTCAAGATTTCTTCACCCCTTTCTCCTACTTCGACGTCCCTGAATTCAACGGCTACTGCTCCGTCGACCACAATGAACTCTACCGCCATGTTACTCTCTATCTCAACTCCCTCCACAACCCCACCACAGCTGCCTCCTCCTCCTCCTCCTCATCCTCCTCCCCCGCCGCCTGCCGCCGTTTGTCCCTCTCCCGCTCCAAATCCTCCAATAGGATCTCCTTCACTGTCGCTCCGAATAACTCCATTCACGATACCTTCAACGGCCAACGATTTTCGTGGACCCACCACGTGGAAACCGTTCAAGATTCGTTGGACGAGAAACGAAGCTTCTCTCTCAAAATCCCCAAGCGCCACCGCCTTACACTCCTTCCTCTGTATCTCGATCACGTCACCTCCATGGCGGCGGAGTTCGAACGGACCTCCCGTGAGCGGCGGCTCTTCACCAACAGTGGAAATGGAAGCTCTTATGATTCCGGATGGGTTTCAGTTCCCTTTCGACACCCTTCGACGTTTGAAACTCTGGCATTAGAAACAGAGTTGAAGAAACAGATTATGGATGATCTGAAGGCATTCGCCGCCGGGAGGGAGTTTTACAGCAGAGTTGGCCGCGCGTGGAAACGTGGGTATTTGCTTTATGGGCCTCCGGGATCTGGGAAATCGAGCTTGATTGCAGCAATGGCGAATTTCCTCTGTTATGATGTTTACGATTTGGAATTGACAAAGGTTTCTGATAATTCTGAGCTTCGGTCGCTTCTTATTCAGACGACAAACCGATCGGTGATTGTGATTGAGGATATTGATTGCTCTGTTGATCTCACGGCGGATCGGTGTTTGAAGACGACGGCGCGTGAGGATCACGAGGAAGAGATGGGTCGCGTGACGTTGTCAGGGCTTTTGAATTTTACAGACGGGCTTTGGTCGTGCTGTGGGGAAGAGAGAATCGTTGTATTCACGACGAATTTCAGAGAAAAGATAGATCCGGCGCTGGTCCGGTGCGGGCGAATGGACGTGCACGTGAGCCTCGGTACGTGCGGGCCGGCGGCATTTCGGTCTCTTGTGAGGAATTATTTGAAGATTGAGTCTCACGCGCTGTTTGACGTCGTTGATAGCTGTATAAGGTCCGGCGGTGGGCTGACGCCGGCGCAAATTGGAGAGATTTTGCTGAGGAATCGCCGTGATGTCGACGTGGCGATGAGGGAGGTCGTCGCCGCCCTGCAGGCAAGGGTTTTGGCCGGTGGGGGTACACGATCGGCAGTGGCAGAGTATGAAGAAATGGTGTTGAGGTCGCCGGAAAGTGTGCTGGTGGTGGGTTCGCCGGAGAACTGGTATTCGTCGCCGGGGAAGTATGTGGGGAAGAAAAGGAAAGAAGGATCAGCGATGGATAAAAAAGTGAATTTTTTAGTCAGACTTCGATCATTGACTAAGTCTGACTCTGGAAGGACAGGGGTTTGACTTTTCGTCTAAGTTATAAATTTGGTCGAACTTGGTAAGTTTGTACTTAACGGTTGAATTTAGTTTTTATGGTTGGATAAAATTTCATAAATAATACCTTAGATTATTTATGAATATTTTATCTAACTATATAAAAAAATTAATTCGAACTAAATTGTAACGTTCTCATCATCATATAGACCAAATTTATAATTTAAATTTTAAGCGTTTTAAAAGATCAACGAAAGCAAAGTGACCTCATGCGATAATATCAACGACTCATAAGTATTTAAGTGTTACTATGAGATTCCACATCAGTTTGAGAGAAAAATAAAGTTTTTCTTTAAAGGGTGTGGAAATCTCTCATTAACCGATGCATTTTTAAAACTATGAGACTGACAGTGATACGTAGCGAGCTAAAGTATATAATATCTACTAATAGTGAGAGTGACGACGATATGACAATATCTGCTAATAACGAACAATATCTACTAACGTTGGATTTGAGCCGTTAGAGTTGAATAAGAAAGAATTTCGAATGAAGGTCGTCTTTTTTTTACAAGGAACTATTCCTTGCTTTTTAACCATAAAAGAATTTCGAACTCATTATAATTCAAACAAACACAATTGTTCCATTCTCCTTCAACTAGGATATGAATAAATATTGTTTAGCAAACAATAAAGTCCTTCTCCCACTACCCTCCAATTTATTGTAATATTATCTTAATTTACAAAAATGTATAAAGCTAAAACTTTAGTTCAACACTCATTAAAACCTAACAAGTGTTTTATTCCTTATTCTATATGCATATAATAATTGTTGCATTTACATGAATAACTTGCCCTTTAATTACAAAATAAATAAATAAATAAATAAAATCATGTTCTTTTATAATTATTTTATATAAATACACAAAAAATTGGTACAATTAGACTGATTCTAACCTTTAAAATTAAATTCTAAGTTTTAAAAGAAAAAAAAATTGAAGCGGAATTTTCGTTTTATCACAATTTCATGTGGTCCCCACCCTATAAATATAAAAGCCCAACGAACCATTTCAAAATTGATCTCAGGACTGAGTCACCGAGTCACAGAAGAAGAGAGAGAACAAAAATGACGGTGGTCGTAATAGACGGATCGACGGTGAGGAACTTCGTGAACGACGAGTCTCATTTCAAGAAGAGCGTGGAAGATGCATTTGCCGCTCTGGATCTCAACAACGACGGTGTTCTCTCTCGAGCGGAGCTCCGCAAGGCCTTCGAGACGCTCCGCCTAATCGAGACTCATTTCGGTGTCGATGTCGCTACTCCGCCAGAGCAATTAACTCAACTCTACGATTCTATTTTCGAGCAGTTCGATTGCGACAAAAGCGGAAGCGTCGATGCGGATGAGTTTCGGACGGAGATGAAGAACATCTTGCTCGCAATCGCCGATGGATTAGGCTCGTCTCCGATTCAGATGGCGCTCAGCGACGACGATCAGAGTTTCCTGAAGCAAGCCGCGGATCTGGAAGCTTCCAAACTCGCTCAATCCTCGGCCTGATCGCGATTTCCACGGTTTGCCTTTCCATTTCCTCTTTTCCCCAATTTTGAATTGCCTGTCTGTCTGTTAAGGATACGAACATGTTTGAATCTGATTACACAATAAAATATATTCGCTGTTAACGGTGGAAGGAGCGAGTTCGATTTTAAGCTTCTAGAGAGAATCGAAATTTAGGTACAACTTTTACTCTGAAGTTTGTGTTCTTCATCCTCTTAACATATCTTTTCATCAAAATTAATTTTGTAACATTTCAACCTTTTGATCTTTTAAGGAAAAAAAAAACAAAATGTCGTCGCCTGAGAGATTCGAACTCTCGCGGGGAAACCCCATGTACTTAGCAGGCACACGCCTTAACCACTCGGCCAAAGCGACTTTTGTTGTTACTAATGTATTTCTATAAATTAATTAAAAGTTTTTATAGTCGGTGATACTTTCCCAAATGAATGGATATTATGACCGAACGAAACACGGTTTTGTGAAGACCTGGAACCTTCCATCAAGCTCTCTGTTCCAAACATGGCGGCCAGACGGTCAAACAACCATCGCCGCTACCTTCCCTCTCTATAAAACCCCGCTCAAACCTCCATTCTTTTTCATCCAATTACAATCCGCTCTTCTTTCTGCGACTCTAAATCTCCATCATGATGCCTATTTTGGAAATTGACGCCGGCGAGTTCTTCGTCAAAATCGCTATGTTCCTCTTAGTTCAACTTCTTGTTTATTTTATCCTCTCCGAATCCTCTGATCTCTTCTCAAAGGACCAGAAATTGAAATCTCTCAGCTTCAAACCGGCGAGATCCGTCAGTATTCGCCGGTTTTTAGCAGCTCTTTCCGACATGCCTTCCGGCGGCGAGCTGTCACCGTCGCCGAGAGTTCGGAGTCCGTCGCCTATTCACCGGGAGCGTTCCGATAACGGCGGCAGGTTTTAGAGAAATCGAATCGGATCGAATTGAATCGAGTCCGATTGGGCCGGATTGGGTAGCTCTGTAAAGTGAAAAAAGTAGGTTGGGGTAATTTATGTAATTTGTGAGAATTCAGGGTTGGTTTTGAGATTATTTGTATTTGTTATTTGAATTATTCTTTGTTTAAAATGGAAATTATTTGATTGGTGCATTTAATTTTTTTTAATTTATGGTCAAATATATGCTTCTTTTTCGTAATTAATATTAAAAAAAAAAAAGAGGAAAGTTGAAGGGAGGCTTGCATGATGAGCTATTAGCTCCGTGGTAAAGCACACTCTTGATAATTGTATCGCTGTGCTTGAGTTTGATAATTGTATCGCTGTGCTTGAGTTGTGCAAGCTCTCAGTCACATGAATAGTTAAACGTTGCATGCATTGCATTTGTCCTCTTTCACACTTAACGAGTGAATTTTCCTGAATAGTACTTCAGTGTGGAACTTCTTTCAGTTGCCCTCAATTGTTAATTGGGGTTTCGATAGGGGTAGGATTCTCCAGGCGGAGCTGGAAGCTGCCGTGCAACCTCTGGAGTGACTATCTTAGTCGTGAGATTGGCCTCGCCTAAGGCTAATGCACAGAAGGGTGAAGACTAAACTCGAAACTCTGTTATTAGTACATTGTGCATAATTAAATAGTTACATAGAGTAAACAAACAACAAACAAGATCATGATCAACGATCAAAATTGAAGGAGTAAATTCATAATTTGTCTAAAAATACTTTAAAAAGAAGTGAATTTCAGCAGCTAAAATCATTCAATTTCTTCCTCTTCCCCTTCATCTTCAGCCACGAAACAGTCAACATGAACTCCAAAATCACAATCCTCACAGTAATATACCCAACACCCATTTCCAAATCCTCCCTCACAAACACCGCACCGAAATCCCTTCCCCTTTGAACGGAACTCAAGCCGGAGCGGGTGCCCATGGTTCTTTCCGGTCATAATTTCCGGCAGGGAGGCGCAGTGGATGTGCAGGTCAAACTGGCACCTGGGGCACCGGTAGATGAAGCCGGAGCCAATGTCTCCGCATCCGTCGCAGGCGAATTCGCCGCCATCGTACGGCGGAGATCCAGTGAGGACGAGAGGGTGCTTTGCGTGAGACCGGTGGTGGATCTCCGACGGAAGGGCGAAACAGAGTTCGTGGAGAATGAACTCGCATTCAGGCTTTGTGCACTCGAGAAAGGTTTTACAAAACTCGACCACTTTTTTGTTGGCTGTTGTCTGTTGTTTGAGGCAGGTTCAGATAGGTGTTGGTCTAAGAACTGCAGGTGCATGAGATATGTTTGATTCCCATTGAACTGCAAGTCATCTTAAATTTTTGGCTGATTGACAGGACAGTTAATTTGTTTGGTTAAATAGACATTGAAAGCAACATAGAGGCCTGAAGTTTAAAAGGATGAAGAAGATGGCCGTACTCGCCCAACTCAGCATCCCATCAGACGTGATAATACAGAGAGTGAGTGCATGGGGATGCTCGATGATGCCCTCCAATAATTGCCTTGCCTTTTCACTTTTACTGCCTCTTTCTTAGGCCCTCTCCCTATTCCCTACTCTCATTTTTACCATTTTATTACCTCCTTTTCACAAGTTTTGGGTAAATTTTATATGATATAGTGTTGAGTAGCACTAAGAGTGTACTTGTAGAAGTCTTAGTGCGACTTTTTTATAAGGGCATGATCCTTTACTAGTACCGGTAAGATTGATGTCAATATGAAACGAGCTAAAATAGACAATATCTGTTAACGACAAACTTTGACTATTATACTTACGAACCCTAGCTCCACAATGTGACTAATAGTTGTGTAAACAAAGAACGAGCATAGTGTCACGGTCATGCTCGTCCAAGGCGTGTTGTCCATGGCCACATGCCCATGACAAGCCAAACCCTTTATGTCTTCCCATGTTCTAGTGTTTTACTTTTATATTTCTATGGAGTATGACGTTTCGGAAAAATCATGTCTGGGCCTACCAGACATGAAATGCTTCGGAATGTACTATAGGGGGATATGACTAGTTGTCAACTTCTCCTTTCCTAAGGTTATATACTGTGAGCCGTTATTGTTTCTTTCTCGCTTGCTTATATAACGTCTCTTTCAAAATCTTTCTTTCCCATCGTTTTCTAAAACCTTCTCTTAAACCGAGGCCAGAGGCTCGAGCATACGTCGCTTGCCCGTAGGCGACGTAAGAACGAATTGGCTTAGCTCACTTGTCGTTGGAAGGTGAGTGTCGTATAATCACAAGTCCGCTGCCATCAAGAGTGCGATTATGACACATAGCACAGACAATAAGGGAAGTAATGTTGTTACGAGTCATCCGATTACAATTTTGAGAGCGTTCGATAAAGAAACCCTCAAAGAATTCCTTGGAATCCAACTAAATCCATTGATCTTCTTTTTCTTTTTTGGGGTTTTGGGATAATGAAAAAGGTTTTGGAGGCTCAAAGAAATCTAGTGGATTTGACCTCTCCATGCTCAAAATTCTCTCTCTCTCACATCAATATCCAACCAATTTTTGCCACGTGTCCAATTGCCCTAAAAAAATATATACTTGAAAAATAAAATAATTTAAATGAAATTTTCAAATCCAATTAAAAAATATATACTTGAAAAATAAAATAAAAAAGTTGCCCAATATTTCTCAAACATTTTGTATATTTTTAAAATTATAATTTTGTTTTTTTTTTTCTTTTTATCTTTTTCTAAAATAGTTACAATGGAAAGTGGCAGATTTTTTAAAAATAATATCGTAATGGATAATATTTGTTCCTTACAAAAATCCAAATTAAATAATGAAAAATAATTTGTTTTAAATACATGCATCACACATGGTCTACCACGAGTCACCATTTTGTGTAGCATTGGATACCTTATTTCACATTTTTATAATTTAATTTTTTAATATTTAAAATCAACGTGAATCACGACAGTAAAACTAACTCCTTAAAACTACGTTAATTCGAGCATAACTTAATAAATAAAACATCAATTATTATTTTAAAAATATTTTTGTGTGCCGATGATTAAAAATGATGTAATTAACTATTAATCAACCCTTATTATTATTACGAAATAAATATAGAAAATTACCAAAATGATTTGAATCGATAAAAAAGAAAAAGTAAGATAAATAAATTATTTGTAATGATGCTTTGTTACACTATGTAATAATGATCATGCACGACCATGTATGAATTATTATTCAAATTTAGGCTTTTTAAAAAAAGTTAAGGTAATAATCATCAAAACCCCATATCCTTAATCTCTTACTAATTTTGATTAATTATCACTTAAACTCCTATTTGTAAATTAGAACAACATATGTTTATACTTAACAAATTTAGTTCTTATAATTAATTTAAACGTTAAATAATGATCACATTTTTTAAAAAAAGGGAATTAAAATAAATAAAAGTAAATAAAAAGATGGTGAAATGGGACAAAGAAGAGAAGCATAATGATGGCAAGAATGTAATTATGTAAACTTCAACTCGGACAACATAATGCATAGGAGAGCCATAATCATCACATTTTATGAAATTTTTTCATATTCTTACAAATTTTACTCTCCAAATAATTCATTTCAATTATGAAGCTTCCTTTATATATATATATATATATTTATTCCACTTGGTTTATGGGCACGGGGTGATGGATAGCTTCAATCATTCTTCGTTACACATTAATGTAGCACTCTTCATTAAAATCCCTTTTTATTATAATAACATTGTTAATAATACAAACACATTTATAAGCTCTCGGGCGGTTTGGAGTGTTGAGTTAGGTTATGAAGTGACGGGTTAATAAGGATGATGAATTTCCTTCGAGTTCTAAATTAAGATATTTTACTCATTCGGTTGAAGATAAATTTGAATCGATATAGCCTAAGTTCCTGGCTAGCAAATATTGTATTTGTACAATAGTAAAGTTTATGAGCTAGATTGTTAGTTCTGGCCGTTACAAATGATATCAGAGCTAGTGATTGAGTGATTTATGTGCCAATGAAGATGTTGGCCTCCATGGAAGCTGGATAGTGAGATCCCATATTGGTTGGAAAAGGGAACGATACATTTCTTACAACGACGTGTAAACCTCTCTGTAGAAGACACGTTTTAAAATTCTGAGATTGACGGTGATACATAACGAGCCGAAACGAACCATATGTACTCTAACCGATTGTAATTCCAAAATGGGTGTATGATTGGGAGTGCGTTGAGAGGTGTGCGTGACAGGAGCAGCATGAGCAGCGCCTTATAATTTGACCGATTCATTCATAAAGAATCTTTAGAAGACTCCCTTTTGGTCCTCCACTTTCTTTAATTTCTCTGTTTCCATGGAGTTGGGTTTGAGGCTTGGAGATCAACAACAAACCCACAGCCACAACCCTAAGCTTCTTCACCTCGCTCTTCTTCCTCCTACTCCTACTCCAGACGGCGGCGGTGGGGAATCTCCGAGAAACCCATATCTGTGCTCCTCCTTGGAGCTGGGATTGTATGAAGTGGAAGAGCATCAGGGAAATAGCGACAGAGGTTGCTCTAGAGGCAGCGATGAAGATGATCAAATTTTGGGTTCCAGAAAGAAACTGCGGCTTTCCAGAGAACAGTCGGCGTTCCTTGAAGACAGCTTCAAAGATCATCATACACTTTACCCTGTAAGACCCTCTCTTCTTCCTCTTCATTCAATCATATACATGTTCCATTATTGGTATAAGACGTCAGGGATCACGAATCTTCACAATGGTATGTTACTGTCCACTTTCACCACAAGCTCGAGTGGCTCATATCAATAGAAATAATATTTCTTGGTTATAAACCGATGCTCATTCTCTTAATTAGCCCATGTGTAACTCTTCCAGCAATGCTCCTCTCGAACAAAGTATACCATTAGAGTCTCCTCCAAGGGCTATGGAGCCATTGAGCCTCCTATAAGGTTTATGAAGCTCTCGAACAGCCTCTCTTTAATTGAAACTCGATTCTTTTCTCTAGAGCCATCAAGCAAAGTACACCCTCACCATAGAGCCTCTCCAAAGGTCTATGTAGCCCTCAAACAGCCTCCCTTTAATCGAGGCTCGACTCTTTTCTCTAGAGCCATCGAGCAAAGTACACTCTCACCATAGAGCCTCTTGGGAGGCCTATGTAGCCCTCGAACAGCCTCCCTTTAATCGAGGTTCGACTCCTTTCTCTAGAGCCATCGAGCAAAGTACACCCTCACCATAGAGGCTCTATGGAGGCCTATGTAGCCCTCAAACAGCCTCCCTTTAATCGAGGCTCGACTCTTTTCTCTAGAGCCATCGAGCAAAGTACACTCTCACCATAGAGCCTCTCGGGAGGCCTATGTAGCCCTCGAACAGCCTCCCTTTAATCGAGGTTCGACTCCTTTCTCTAGAGCCATCGAGCAAAGTACACCCTCACCATAGAGGCTCTATGGAGGCCTATGTAGCCCTCAAACAGCCTCCCTTTAACCGAGACTCGACTCCTTTCTCTAGAGCCCTCAAACAAAGTACACTCTCACCATAGAGCCTCTCTGAAGTCTATGTAGCCCTCGAACAGCCTTCCTTCAATCGAGACTCGACTCCTTTCTCTAGAGCCCTCAAACAAAGTACACCCTCACCATAGAGCCTCTCTGAAGCCCTCGAACAGCCTCCCTTTAATCGAGACTCGACTCCTTTCTCTAGAGCCATCGAGCAAAGTATACCCTTTGTTTGACACTTAAGTCAATTTTGAATATACCTTCTAGACTAGCAACTTCTTTGTTCGATGCGTCATGATTCTATTGGCATGGCTAAGTTAAGGGCATGATATTAATACCATGTCAGTAATCACAAAACTCCACAATACAGGAAGCTTCTCACTATTGTGAAGGGTCATGATTCGTAACAGTAGAACGAGTACTATTTAAAATATATTTAAATTTAAAAAGTTTAAAAATTTATAAGCGATATGAAATAGCAGAAGCAAAAGGTAGAACTTGCAAGAAGGCTAAATCTTCGTCCACGCCAAGTAGAAGTGTGGTTTCAAAACAGACGAGCAAGGTGACCATCGCCATTATCTCTCTCTTTCTCATTATTTATTTATTTATTTATTTATTTATTTATTTACAGTGTTAACATTACAGAACCAAGCTGAAGCAAACCGAAGTTGACTGTGAGTACTTGAAAAACTGTTGCCAAACACTAACCCAACAAAACAGGAAGCTTCGAAAGGAGCTTCAAGATTTAAGAGCTTTGAAAACCACTGATTCTCTCTTCATGCATTCCCCCGCCACCACTCTCACCATGTGTGCGTCTTGTGAACGCGCCGCCGTTCTTCACCCGCTGAACTCCAAGGCTTCTGGGTTTTCGTTTACTACAAATGGGTCCTCTCCACAATAATTAGGGTTTCCTTTTGATCATCAGCTTCACAACCTTTTTTTGTTCACTATTTCTATGTGAATTTTCAAGATTTATATATATTTTTTATTGCTATGATATTGAAATTTTGTTTATTTGGATCGACGTTTCGATTTTACGAAATATATAAATTTAAAACAAAACTAATTATATTCGCTATTTACTTTTATTATTATGTCATTGATTTCATATGGTCGATGTTGAATGTAGGGACGTATAAAAATGTAGATAGAAATGTCGATAAAAGGTACTATTTAGGGTTTGGACAGCCAATGTATGAAGAAGAGAGGGATGGGAGACAAAATTGAGAAAAATTCAAAGCTATTATTATTGGATAATGAAAATGGAACAAAATAGGGATAGGCTTAAATTCTGTGTGTTCAAGCTTTTGGAGACACAAAGGTTTATGATTAATGTTCAAAGGCGTGGAGTTTCTTCCTTCATACCCATCAAACCCTAATATATGTATGTCTTCTATTTACCCTCAATCATCACCGACCAACCCATCATGATTCACGCACGGTTTTAACAACTTTGAGTTTAAGAACGCACTAGAAAGGTTAAATTACATATTTAGTCTTTAAATTTTTAGATCCGTGTACTGTACTAAGTTTATGAAATACATGTTTCACCTTTCAGAACATGTCTACTACTTTTACGAATTAGGGTTCATGTGGGCAGTAGTAGACTACTTCATGGTTACTTCCAAAGCACACAGCTAAAAAATGACCACCATTGCTTTTTCTCACTTTCTCATCATGAGAGAGGAGTTTGCATCATTGCTGATCACATTTGCTAGGTTAAAACAATATTTTTAGTTCTTAGTAAGAGTTCAAGCCCACCGCTAGCATATACTGAACTTTCTCTGTCTAGGGAGAGATTTTCACACCTTATAAAGAATGTTTCGTTTCTCTCTCAAACTAATATGAAATCTCAAAATCCACCTGATTTTTCTAGGTCCAACGTCCTCGATGGCACTCGATGTAAGATCTCATGTGTTTAGTCAAGTATGTTTACTTATAATTTTGTAATAATTTAGGTTATGAGTTTGATATAAAAAATCAAAACCAAAATCACATCTAAATTCAGATGAATATAGAGAAAAATATTAGAAGGGGACAAAATGGTGGTGCAATTTCCAAGAAAGATTTCAAAGTTTCATGATTATGAGGGATTTGGAAGCATGCAATTTGGCAATGTGTAGGTATCATCATCATCATCAATGGATACTAATGGTATTTGTCAAAGCGCGCGCGCACACACACAAGAGTGTAAGGAACAATTATTCACTATTCACATGGCCCTACTCATTGTGTCTTCTTTTTTTAAAACTTGATAGAAAGCACCATGATACAAACTGCTGCCAAGACAGAACAAGAATCACCTAACTATATCAAATACCTTCCTATGCTTACCTACATGTAATCCTCCCCGCGCTTCCATTGAATGTTTATCGGGTAAGTTTTTTGGGATGAACCACTCAGCTTCCAGTAATATTATCAGTTCTCAACTGCTCGACTGGCGGAGGAAGGAGAAGAGCGAGCCGGGTTTTGTATCTTTCAATTCGATGCAACCGTTCTTCCCTCAATCTGGAAGCATTACACGGATCGAAAGCAACAAAATTTATATTCAAACTGAGAATGTACAGGTATCCTACATCATGATTCAGTAAGAGAGAGCAAGAGGATACTGTTCATATAAAATTTGACTAATGAACTAACGCACCGTGATCGGACTTTCTTTGCTCGTTTAACATGCCGTTTTAATAGATCTTGCGATGACAACTGCTCAATGGATCCCTCATCCTAAAATGCAGAAACACAGGTAAAGCTATATCCAATGATCCTTGCAGAACATTCGTAAAATTAATAACATTCATGAGAAGAGTTCATGACACGAAACAGAAACCAACCTTATCTTCCTCGTCAACTTCGTCTCCGACGACTTCCTTCTTCTGCGATGAAACAGCACCAGCCACGGGTATGGGCAAAGGTCTTGGAAGAGGCCTCAAAAAGTTCCCATATTGTGGCTGTCAATGGAACAAATTATCAGCAAAAATCAAAACAGAAGAATAACTCCCCCCGTTCTTTCTTCATTGTTGCTTTTTTTTTATTTTTTATCATATTTCATTTTGAGGGGAGGCGGCATAGTATCTACCATCTCTAACAACACCACCAATGAGAAACAGATGTATATGAGTCAGATCATTGTCTGCTTTGGCCCGTTACATATTGTCGTCAGCCTCACGGTTTTAAAACACATCTTACTAGGGAGAGGTTTCTACGCCTTTATAAAGAATGTTTTGTTCCCCTCTCCAACCGATGCGAAATCTCAGTAGGTTGTATACAACAAGGAATGAGAGCAGTGCCTTGCAATATAGTAAAGTTTCTATCGGAATGGGAAGTCTCCACAGACAGGAACATCCATCATATGTAAAAGAACGGAATCTTGTCTATTAAAATGCAGAAAAGAATGAGTTGAAACATGCTAGTAAACCTAATGAAGGAACAATGAAACAAGATAGGAGGAATGCTATTGTACTGTGAGATCCCAAATCGGTTGAAGAGGGGAACGAAACATTTTTTATAAGGGTGTGGAAACCTCTTCCTAGCAGATGCGTTTTAAAACCGTTAGGTTGACGACGATACATAACAGACCGAAGCAGATAATATTTGCTAACAGTGAGCTTAGACTGTTACAAATGATATCAGAGCTAGGCACCGAGCGGTGTGCCAATGAGGACGCTGAGCCCTGAAGAGGGATGGATTGTGAGATCCCACGTCGGTTGGAGAGGGGAACAAAGAATTTTTTATAAGGGTGTGGAAACCTCTCCCTAGCAAACGCGTTTTAAAACCATGAGGCTGACAGCGATACGTGACAAGCCAAAACGGACAATATCTGCTAATGGTGAGCTTGTGCTGTTACATGTACACTCCTCACCAAGATCGTTGAACATTCTAAAACCAAAGACGAAGTCTCAAAAATCTATTTCTAAGTCAGATTATTGAGTTGTTTGTACTAATAGAGAAGAGATAAAAGAATCTTAAAAGACCACATTTTGCAGCAATGACGATGAAAAATCCAACATTGATATGAACAAAATATGAATGAGAAAGATACAGCATAGAAGGCTGTCAGCTGCAGTGTTAACTATTAATCACGAATCTAATCCAATGACCTATAAAGATCCATTAAATAGCATGCTTCAGAACAAGAGCAGCAACGTGCAGTTCAAATCCACAAAAAGGAAAGATGTTGCAATCAGAAACAACACAAACCTGGCATTCTTCATGAGAGCCATTCCTCAACCATGATCGACAAAGTGCATAAAGAGAAGCCCCATCAGTTATTCGGACCTGACATGGTTACTATCTTAGTATGCCATATAATTGTGGTGATCCTAAGCATATATTCTTTAAAGAGAATCGAGTGTCGCCATCGTTCATACTAAAATGAAGAAGACGCCCCTAATTCATGCTAAAAACATATAAAACATCCACCAAATCGTATAAAAATCGCGTGTATAAACAATCATGGTGTTAAGAATTTTAGAGCTTACTTTTCGATCTCTAATCACAGCAAGAGCATCATCTCTGACTCTGTCCCCAGGCAAAACAGAACAGCAGAATGTCAAATGATTTGTAAAGCATGAATGAAAGATATGTTACAGAAGGAGCAACCATTACCTCATTTCTTTACATCCATTTGACTCGCAGATTGTTGATGGAGGAAAAACCTTGAAAGGGTAACAAAACAAATTTAAAGTATAAAAAGAAACTTGGGCATTCGAAAAATGATATGAAAGAACCAACGGGTAACTCAAAATCAGATTTAAATCTATCAATTCTTGTAGGGAAGGAGCCGAAACGTGAACTCCTTAAACCCATGAAATTAACGCGTCAAAAGCTAAATCAAATTACAACCCAACAAACCTTTGGATCAGAGGAATTGGGGGCACCCTTAATCGAGCCCGAAATGGCGGACCCAGAAAGGGAAATCAACTGCTGCGGCAAATTGGGAGGTCGCGCCAAGTGCATTGGATGGCTCATGGAGTCCAAATGAGGCGACCCAATCGGCCGATGCGGGAAAGTGACGACGGGGCGATGTGGGTAGCCGCCAGGGTTGGCTACCGTGACCGCCTGATCGGCGGGAAGAGGTCGAATGGGGCGAGGAACGAAGCCGCGGCCGGAGGAAGCAACAGGGTAAAGAATTGCCTGAGATGCATCTTGCTGAATCTTCGGCAATTGGTGGTTAGGAGTTCGAATAGGGATGCGCTGCGCCGCGTAGAGGGCTTGAGGAGGGTAGTGGAGATGGTGGGTTTGAGGAATTGAAGAAATGGGTCTCGACGGAGCTTGATTCGCAAGCGGACGAGCAATAACAGCGGCAGTGGTAGTGGCTGCAGCAGTAGTTAGAGTTAATGAACCCGGAGCGACAGTGGTGGTGGGGGCAACGGCGGCGGCGGGCGTCGTGTTGGTGGAGATGGGGAGGGAGTCGTCGGGCATGGTGGCGGGGAATTTGGGTGTATGTGGTTTGATTGTTTGAATATCAAATTAGCCAAAAGAAAGAAAAAAACTTGAATTTCCGTGCATCGACTGGATTGGGGGCTTGGATTCGCGGGTGCCGTTGAGGAGAATCAAATCAATTTTAAAATTACTATTTTGAATTCACCCAAGTTTACTTTTTTTGTGTTCTTCGACTTTATTGCTTTCGTTCTAATCTTTAAACAATTGGATTCGAGAAATCAAACGTAAAAACATCAATCGATATCGATATTTTAATTCATTCAATGATCACAATGAGATTCGAGACTCGATCATATTAATTATTTAAGTCACCTCCCAACATAGTTTAATTCAAAAGATGTAAGTAAAGTTTTGATTTCATCTATTCAGCTTCAAACATAAATAAACCATGAAATGAAGAACAGCACTCAAAGATCACGTTCAGCTCCCTATCATGGCCAGAGGAACTAGAAACCCGCCCATCCAGCAGGTTGTGAAGCTCTGTCAGTTCTTTGTGAACTAGACCTTTCACCAGTTAATCTGGATGCGTTGGAGCTTCCAGCAGACACGGCTGAAAAACTCTCGGATCCAAAGCCCCAGCTTTCGAAACCAGTGCCTTCTGTAGAATCCTGCTTTCTCGGCAGGCTTCTAGTCCTCACAGATTTGACACCCTTTTCAGGCGTATCAGGCTGCTGGATTGGGGATTCTCCTGCAAAGGCCTGCCATGGCTTTGCATCAGGGGTTCGAGTATTCGAATTGGCCTTCTGTACCTGAAACGTGAGGTAAAAGATGCATAAAGATGGCGGTTTTCCTTGGAAAACCAAATCCAAAGGACGAAGAAGGAAGCGAGGAAATACTCGAGGTACAGCAGAAGGCTGAATGTTCCTAGCAGCAAGTGATTGCTTGAGCTCCTGTATCTCTTGCCTTTGAGACCGGCAGATGGCAGACAGCTTTTCAAATTTGGATGTGATTTCAGCTTTCTCCATGTTTGCTTGCTTCAGTTGCTCCTTCAACTTCTCCACCTCAGCCTCTGATGCTGCTACTTCCTTTCCTGGTCTGTTGTTAGTGACATCTGAACTAGAGGTATCAAATTCAGCAACAAAATTGTTAAAAGCTTTGTCTTGGAAGGCTGCATTCTCGGGTTTTGATGCTTTCGCTCCATTAGAGCTACGTCCCGTTTCGTTCTGGAAAAACGATAATTCAAAGTCTCTGAATGAACCACTATCACTCACTGTCTTATTTGACTTTTGGTTGCTATCCCCAGGACTAGCATTCTTAACTGCAGAATGATTGTTTGGATTAATCCTCTCGTGTTTCGAGGTACTACGAGAGGTTGATTCTTCGTCGAACCTAATTTGGCTTGTATCTTTATTAGTCGTTTCATTGGCGTGTTGAGTAGACCAGAAGGCACCCAGCGGTCCTCCTCCAACTCCCCCTCCCCCTCCGCCTGTGGCCTTCGGCGCATGCGCTGCCTGTGATGGACTTTTAACTGATGGAGGTGGGGGCGGACTTCTACGAGGCATAGGAGACGACTTGTTCATAAGGTTCAAAGCGCCTGCTAAGATAACATTTATATCAACAAACTTAGACACCATACCATAATTAATCCCTTCACAAATTTGGAGACTAAAGATATAAACGACCTCTGCTTACTTGATGAACTAGACAACATAGAACTAATCAAATTAATGAACCCTTAAGCTACCTTCACCCTCACCTTCCTGTTTCTCTGTAGACTGCATGTCAGGTGGCTGATCAGGTAATGACTTTCGTGATCGAACAGGTAGCTGGTTGTTAACACGAAACCAGACCTGCCACGGCACAAACCAACCCCAAGATCGGGAAGGAATTATGAGAATCCTGACACCTATTATCGTCATCGACATGAGTAATCTAAACTAACCTAAATTCATGGAGATGAATGGCCAATCAAGCAAAGCGCTTGCCTGCGTGATGTCTGGTCTGTCATTTGGTGACGCTTGGAGCATATCTTTGATTAGGTCTGTAATAGATGAGCTATATTTTGGTAACTCCAGAATTCGATAGTTCCCATTTAAAATTTGAAGTTTCGATTCTCCATCAAAAGCACTTTTGAAGTAACATATGCGGAAGAGAAGACACCCGAGAGCCTGTCGTGTAATAGAATTCAAATCTCAGAAATGAAAAGAACATCAATTCTTTATAAGTTCATTTGTGAAGAAAATTGTTGAGAACTAATATGTAACAGCCCAAGTCCACCGCTAACAAATATTGTCCACTTTAACTTGTTACGTATCGCCGTCAGCCTCACGGTTTTAAAACGCGTCTATCAGGAAGAAGTTTCCACACCCTTATAAGGAATGCTTCGTTCTCCTCTCCAACCAATGTGGGATCTCACAATCCACCCCCGCTCGGTGTCTGACTCTGATACCATTTGTAACCACACCCTTATAAGGAATGCTTTGTTCTCCTCCCCAATCGAGGTGGGATTTTACACTATATCATAATTTAACCTTTCGAGATCGGTAAAGAGGAAGAGTATACATACCCATATGTCAACTTTCTCATTTATAAGTTCTCTACGGAATAGATCCCACATCTGTGTCATAACAGGAAATAGATGAAAATTACTAACATATTGACAGCCAAATATCACAACTGCAAAAGAAATTAAGATCAAGATATGGATTTTTTTAATACCTCAGGGGCTCTATAGGCAGGCGTAGTATGCTTCCTGATGTTATCTTCTTCAATGCCCATTTCCTCGGGCTTCTCGAAGCGCTTGTGATTCGTAGAAGTGCTTCCGAAATCACATAATTTCCAGTGGCCATCTGAGCCTAACAAAAGATTTTCAGCTTTCAAATCTCTGAAAATCGCAATCACAAGAGAAAATCAAGATCTTAGTTAAGCCATAACAAAGAACATAAGTCATACACCAATGACAAGTGCCTCCAAACATGGTTGGGATTACATCAACCAAAACCAAATACCACAAATGACAAGTGCCTCGAAACATTATCCTTTTTGGGCTTTCCCTTTTAGGCTTTCCTTCACAGTTTTTAAAACGTGTCTGTTAGGAGGAGTTTTCCACACCCTTGTAAAGAATGTTTCGTTCTCCTCCCTGGCCAATGTGGGATTTCACAATCCACCCACCTTAGGGGCCCAACGTCCTCGCTGGCACTCGTTGCTCTCTCCAATCGATGTGGGATCTCACAATCCACCCACCTTCAGGGCTCAGCGTCCTCGCTGGCACTCGTTCCTCTCTCCAATCGATGTGGGATCTCACAGCAGACATGACTTCAGAGATATTGAATAGAGATCTTCTATATCTTAACTACAGAACATCAGTTAAACAACTAAATTACTAGCAGAGAAAATCACTTTAGTTCATTAACTAGGAAGGGAAGACCACAGAATGAATATTGTGGAAGCTATTATAACTTTTAAGAGAAAGATTGTTGGGATATAGACAACTAGCTACCATGCTTACCTGTGAGCAATTGGCGGGGAACGACAATGCATTGCGAATATTGCATTGACCACGTCTCGGAAAATGAAGAGAACTTGAGTTTCATCAAAGTATTCAGCTCCTCTACTCTCCAGGACATTAAACAAAGACTTCTCACAAAATTCCATCACAATTAAAACTTCTTTTGTGCGTCCCATATCTACGATCGTATGGGCATAAAGTGTAACGACATTCGGGTGGCCTCGGAGTGATTTCATTACAGAAATCTCCTTCAACGCCAATTCAAGAGATTCCACATCATTGCATATAATGTGCTTCAAAGCATACTGTTTCGAAACATGTAGAGCATCCTTGGCTAAGTACACACAAGAGAATCCACCTTCCGCAATGACGTTTCTAACATGAATCTTAAGATTGCCAACATCAATCGAGCGACCCTCGAGACCAGATGGTTCTTTGTGCATGAAAGGCTTGAACCTCCACATGGTTTATAAATATATAGAGAAACTGAAGAGAAACAGTTTGAATGAATTACAGAAGAAGTCCCAATTCTTTTTCACAGATTTAAAATGATTAAACGCATATAGGCACCCTTCTGAAGTGAACAACAACAAGAACATTCATAAACCCTAAACCCTCAATCCCAAATCCCAATCCTCATTCATATTCACTCATATAAAGCAGATCCAATACTAATTAACAAATACCAATGCCATTACTAATGGATCGTAAGCTACAAAACAAAAACTCACAACCCAATCTAAAGATAACACTACACAAGTCCAATTCAGACAATACAACAAAGCCCCACGATCTGGGAGAGCAGCACGTAACCAAAATGAGAAGAAATGAACAAACAACAACAACCCAATTCGATTACATGGAAAACAAGCAAATATAACAATCTGTAATCAACAGAACTATGAAATAACAAGTGGGGTTGGGGAAACTTACCTTGTAGAGGCGAATTGGGGAAGTGGATCAGAATCCAATGGAATTTAAGACGGAGGAGAAGGGCGGCGATTGAGATCTGAGAGTGCTTGTGGATCCAGAAAAATGAAGAGAGAGAGAGAGAGGAAAAAGAGAGTGTGAAGGATGGAAGGAAGACCCTCTCTGAAGATTGTTGAATGCTTATATATAGATTGAATGTTGGGTACAATGGTGGCAAATACGGACAAAGATTTCGTTGGATCATCTCATGAACCCTTTTTTAGGAAGAAAAAGTTCATCACCAAAAGACGGCTTCAATCAAGTTTGCGCCATTTGACGTTTAACAGATAGACTTGGTGAAGAAAATAGTCATATTTGTGATCATCTTTCCATCCCAACTTCATATTTTTAGGTCAAATTGTAAATTCTGTATTGACTAAATCCTTATATTATTAGAAATTACTTTGAATCTATTAGTTATAATTTGTTTTTGTCATTGTGAAGTTGTAAATTTCAGTGTTTGTAACAAAGGCCCAATCCATTCATTTGTGGGCCTATCCCCAGAAGACGAAGATGAAACTTTTGGGCCAAGTTTCTTTAATCTTCTGGCCCAATTATTCTTACCTCTATTTGATTTCATAATTTGTTTTCCTTTTTTTTTTTTTTTTTATAGTTGGGGTTGTTTTTTATAATTCACACGTGACTCTTTCGAACCCAACATCCTCGTTGGCACACTATTCAATGTCCACCCCCTTTGGG